TAAGGTGGGTCAGTATCACTATTAACTTCTCTCGTAATACTGCTTTTGTTGTGTCTCATAGTTTTTGAAATGCTGTGTTTTCAGGGCACCTGGGTGGCTCAGTTGGTTGAACGCCCGACTTTGGCTCAGGTCATGATCTCACAGTCCGTGGGTTCAAGCCCTGCATCGGGCTCTGTGCTGACAGCTCAGAGCCTGGAGCCTGCTACGGATTTTGTGACTCCCTCTCTCTCTCTGCCCCTCCCCCACCCACTCTCTGTCTCTCAAAATAAAATCAACACATAAATTAAAAATAAATAAAAATAAGAAAAAAGAAATGCTGTGTTATCACTGGAGTCCTCTGATTTTTTTTTTAAATTGACCGCATTGGTTGGTTAGTAGTGTGTTTTAGCCTCCCCAGGTTTTCGTCTTATTGTTCATTTCTGGTTTTATTCTCTCGTGGTTAGAAAAGATGCTTGAAATGATTTCAGTCTTAAATTTATTGAGCCTTTGTTGTGTCCTAACCTGTGATTTATCCTGGAGACGGTTCTGTGTGCACTTGAGAAGAATGTGTATTGTATTCTGTTTCGGATGGATTGTTCTATATATATCCATTAAGTCCATCTGGTCTAATATGTCTTTCAAGGCCAGTGTTTCCTTACTAATTTTATGTGGATGATCCATCTGCTGTGCAAGTAGGAAGTTAAAAGTTCCCTGTTGTATTATTGTCAGTTTCTCCCTTTGCATCTGTTACTGTTTGCTTTATAAATTCAGGTGCTCCTTTGTTGGCTGCACAAATGTTTCCAAATGTTTTCTTCTTGTCGTATTGATTCCTTTATCATTGTGTAGTGCCCTTGTCTCTTATTACAGCTTTTGTTTTAAAGTGTATTTTTCTTGATATAGGTATTGCTACTCCAGCTTTTACTTTGTTCCGTTTGCATAGAATATCTTTTTCCATTACCCCACTTTTAGTCTGTGTGTCTTTAGATTGGAAGTAAGTTTCTTGTAGGGACTATTTACACAGGCCTTTTTTTTGAAATCTATTCAGCCATCTTACCTATTTTGATTGGAATCTTTACATTTAAAGCAATTATTGATAGGTGTGTATTGCCATTTTAAAAATTGTTTTCTTGTTTTTGTAGTTCCTGTTCCTTTTTTCTTCTATTGCTCTCTTCCCTTGTGATTTACATTCTTTAGTGTTATGTTTGGATTCCTTCCTTTTTGTGTGTATGTTGTAAGGGTTTGGTTTGAGGTCGCCATGCGGTTTATATATAATAACGTACGTATATAACAGCCTGTTTTAAGTTTTTTAAATAGGAGTGCATTCTGCAAGCACTACGTCTTTACTCACCTCACTTACCACCCTCGTGCACACACAGGTTTTATGTTTTTTTTGTTGTTTTTTTTTATTTTATTTTTTTTAATGTTTATTTATTTATTTTTTTATTTCTAGGAGAGAGAGAGAGAGAGAGAGAGAGAGACAGCGTGAGCAGGGGAGGGTCAGAGAGGGAGGGAGTCACAGACTGAAACAGGCTCCAGGCTCTGAGCTGGCAGTCAGCACAGAGCCTGATGCGAGACTCGAACCCACGAACCACGAGATCATGACCTAAGCGAAAGTCGGACGCTTAACCGACTAAGCCACCCAGGCGCCCTGGTTTTATGTTTTTGACATCTGTTTTAGGCCTTTTTATTTAATGAGTCCCTTAACTAATTATTGTAGATTTTGTTGATTTTACTGCTTCTGTTTTTTAACCCTCATACCAGCTCCATCGTGGTTGATCTGCTTCCTTTTCTATAAGTTTTCCCTTACTAATGAGATTTTTTCTTTTAGGTATTTTCTTATGACTAGTTTTGGCCTTTTATTTTCTGCTTAAAGAATTCCCTTTAATGCTTCTTGTAAAGCTGGTTTAGTGGTGATGAACTCTTTGGAAAACTCTTTTATCTCCTTAAATTCTGAATGGTAATCTTGCTGGGTGTGTTTGGCTGTAGGTTTTTCCCTCTCAGCACTTTGAAAATTTCGTGCCTCTCTTGGCCTGCAGACTTTTTACTTAAAATTGGGGCGCCTAGGTGGCTCTGTTGGTTGAGTGTCTGACTTTGGCTCAGGTCATAATCTCACAGTTTGTGAGTTCAATCCCCACATCGGGCTCTGTGCAGACAGCTCAGAGCCTGGGGCCTACTTCGGATTCTGTGTCTCCCCCTCTGCCCCTCCCATGATCATGTTCTGTCTCTCTCTCTCAATGATAAATAAACGTTAAAAAAATTTTTTTTTAAAGCAATGATAGTTGGCAGAGGATTCATCTCTTGTAACACTATCACCAGAGGCCTAGCCTTCTCCCCTTCTGTAACTGGCATCTTGCTGTGATGTGGCTGGAATTGCATTAAGCCTGTGTATGAACTTGGGGAGGATTGGCATCTTTAGTATCTTGGGTCTTCTAATCAAGGAGTGCGGTGAGCCTCATGTATGCCAGCCGAGCCCCCCAGCACCAGCACCTGGTCAGAGTGGCACTGGGGTCATGGGCATCCTGCTCAGGCGCCGCAGCTCCTACCCTGTTTGCTGTGGGAGGGGTGGGAGAGAGCCACCCCTTTCCCTCTTCTCCCTCCCAGGAGCTCCTACCCCTGGCGCTGGGTCACCAGAAGCCCTGAGCCCAGGAGCACAGAGGCGTGCTTTGCATAAAGACCTACACCAGCCAGAGGCATTAAACCTAACAGAGTCTTTCAGGCATTTAAGAAGGACAAGGTCAGTGACCAAGACCTTAATTGGCCCAAAACAGAGGTTGGACCTGGAAAATAGACCGCGTTCTCCATTTCCTTCCAGATTCTGTAATTGACATAGTTGGTATTTGTTATGACTATAGTATTGTTAGTGTGTAACACGGTCGTGTTGTTAAGAGACCTAAGGAGACCTTAGGAAAAAATTATTACCCTTTTGCATTATCTTCTTCATTGTGGTGGTCAGAGAAACACACTTTCATACAGGATTTTTGCAGTTCCCTAAAATGTGTACTACGTGATTTGTGGTCAGCTCCTGCAGTGGTTTTCTGTCTCCTTCAGTGACACTTCTCCAGGCTGTGCTGCTGCCCAGGAAAGCGAAGAATTAAATGTGAGATTGTGAGAACCTGTCAGTGATCTCTCTGTTTCCAGCTGCTGCACTTGTCTCAGTACCAAAGAACAGCAGCTACCTTCAATTCTTTACTAGTGTGTGGTACTTGCTATATGTTTTTTCTTTCTTTCTTGTAAATGTTTATTTTTGAGAGAGACCGTGCGAGTGGGGGAGGGCAGAGAGAGAGGGAGACAGAGAATCTGAAGCAGGCTCCAGGCTCTGAGCTGTCAGCACAGAGCCCAATGCAGGGCTTGAACTTTGGAAAGGTCAGACTGACTAAGCCACCCAGGCCCGCCACTTGTTATATTTTCTTCTAGCATTTGTACACTTCACAGAGGTCTTTTTATGGAACTCACGTATGTTGGAAAAGTGTTTTTGTTCCTGAAGTTGTCAAACTGTTTCCCATGTTGCTAACTCTTTTCACTTAAACCCAGTTCGTATGGTGGCTTCATGTTTTTGTTGATCAGATAGCAGATTTTACACTGCTATTGACAGAACATGATCATTTTGATGGTGAAGATAAAATTATTGCCTTATATGATTAATAACAAAACCCAAAATGTTATTTTATACTTGAGGTTGTATAAGTTTCATCTGAACCAGAGTGCAAAGATCTCTACAGAAATGATATGCATGGGGCACCTGGGTGGCTCTGTTGGTTAAATGTCCAGCTCTTAATTTTGACTCAGGTCATGATCTCAGGGGTGCATGAGTCACACCTCTGCGCTGACAGTGCGTTGCCTGCTTGGGATTCTCTCTCTCCTTGTTTCTTCTGCACCTGCCCCACTCGTAATCTCTCTCTCTCTTCTGTGAAAATAAATTTTAAAAAAATGATGTTTATAAAACAACCCTAAAAATTAGATGTTGTTACAAAGGTTAGGAAAGAGAATACCAAAATTCATTTTCTCAAAATAGAATCTTGCTGTCTCCAAAAAAATAAAACAAACCCAGCTGTTAATCTTGTGGGGATCCCCGTATACATATATAACTAGTTGTTTTTCTCTTGCTCCTTTTAAGATTCTCTTTATATTTAATTTGTGACAATTATAATGTGTCTTGCTATGGGTCTCTTTGGGTTAATTTTGTTTGGGGCTCTTTTTAATTTCTGGACCTGATGTGTGTTTTCTTCCCCATGTTAGGGAAGTTTTCAGGTGTTATTCCTTAATCTGAGTTTTCTTACTATGCTTGATATTTTCCTAGTAGAGATCCCTTAGGTAACTGTCCTCATCCCCCAATTTTTTTCTTTTGATGTTTACTTTGGGTGATTTCTACTACTCTTAGAGATTGCTGATCTGTTCTTCTGTATCATCTACTCTGTTTATTCCATAAAATGTATTTTTCATTTCTTTTACTGTATTCTGCTCTGATTGATAACTTTCTTATATTATGGAGATTTTTTTGTCTCTTTGTTGAAGTTTTACACTCATCCATTCTTCTCCCAAGTTTGGTGAGCATCTTTATTTACTTTGAACTGTTTATGGGGAAGATTGCTTATCTTTGTTTCATTTAGTTGTTTTTCTAAGGATTTGTCTTTTGTTCTTTCATTTAGAATGTATTTATCTTCCTACTTTGGCCGATTCTCCTCATGTATTACGGAGTTCAGCCACATCTTGGTCTTGAAGGCGTGGCCTCACGGGGGGGGGGAGATGTCAGGGGCTCAGAAGGGCAGACCTCCCTAGTCCCCTGTGTGGCCTGCCTGCACCCTCTTATTGTGTTGGCCGAGGCTGTTGGGGGTCGGGGGGGGGCCTCTGGCCCAGCTGAGACCCAGTTGTCTTGAAAAACAGACATTCTGTTGAATTGCAAACATAGTATGTAAATTTTAAGTGCTAGAAGTTATTTAGAAAGGAGGATCTCGGGATTATATTCGTTGGATATTACTAGAGAGACTTAAATGTTAAATGACACCTTTCCTTCTGTGTGATAGGCTCATCTCTCACTGGAATTGCAAAGGGACAGCCACATGAAACAGCTCCTCCTCATCCAGGAGAGGTGGAAAAGGGCCAAGCGGGAGGAGAGACTGAAAGCCCAGCAGAGAACAGATAAGGATGCGGCTGCCCAGCTTCAGGCCCTGCACAAGCCCGCTTCCGAGGGTGCGGAGGGCCAGGGTCCCCTTCTCTCTGAGAAACACAGCCCTTCCATGGAGAAGCATCTGCCTGAAGTCCAGGGGGTCTTTGACAGGGATCCAGACACGCTACTGTTTTTACTTCAGCAGAAGAGGGAGCCGGCAGAGCCCTGCATTGGAAGCAAAGCCCCCAAGGACGACAAGACAATCATAGAGGAGCAGGCGACCAAGATCGCAGACTTGAAGAGACACGTGGAATTCCTTGTGGCTGAGAATGAAAGGTTACGGAAGGAAAACAAACAACTAAAGGCTGAAAAGGCCAGACTTCTAAAAGGCCCAGTAGAAAAGGAGCTGGATGTAGATGCCGATTTTGTAGAAAAGTCAGAGCTGTGGAGCTTGCCACCACATTCGGAAACTGCCACAGCCTCTCCAACCTGGCAGAAGTTTGCAGCAAATACCGGCAAAGCCAAGGATATCCCCATACCCAACCTTCCTCCCTTGGACTTTCCATCTCCAGAACTTCCCCTTATGGAGCTCTCTGAGGATATTCTGAAAGGATTTATGAATAATTAAAATGAAAGGCCATAAAGGAACTGAGAAGAAAGGACAAAATAATAGAATAATACAGTTAATCCAGAAAAAAAAAAGGGAAAACCACATGCAAGGGTGATTCCAGAGATGCTTCGTCACCTGGCGCACTGTGGGAGAAGTGTCGCTGGGGCTTGGAAAACAGTCACTGTGAAGTACGTCATGTCCGATTGACTGACTCGAGCTAACGATTCCAGACTTGGCGGACACTAGACTCTCGGATGTTGACTTTCTCCTGATACAAACCAAATGGCTACCTGGAATAATTTTTTCAAGCAACAGTTATTTTTCTTATCTTCAGGGTTAAAATGTATAAAAGTATGTTATGTCTAATTAATCTATAATGCCATAAATGATAATGCAAAAACCTAAATAATATGGTGGCCTGAGGGGCCCACCTTGTATTTGAAACATGCTTTCTATCATGCATTGACTGTATGCATTTTGTTATGTACATTTCGTTTGTTGAATAAGGTGTGTGAGACACACCTTTGTAGATGAAACTGTGTGCCACACTTTGCACTACTCATGACATAATGAGAACCTCAAGACTATCAGGAGAAATATTTAAATTTCCATTTTATGAAGAAAGGAACCAAATTGTTATGCTTTTTTTTTAATTAACCGGTTTACATAATTAATCAGGGTGCATTTTAAGTTCTAACTTTTTTGTTTATTGTTTAAATGTATCATTTGAAAATACTAAGGAAATATCCTTTACTGATGCATGAGTGGAAGTAATGGTAGTTGGCAGTGTTTGATTGTAAGAAATGAATAAAGTAATTGTGTTTCATACCTTTGTTGAACGTGTTGATAGTTTAAAAGCACATTTTGTGTGGTTTCTCTTGTAAATCCTGAAGATGAAGAGATTGAGCCAATGACGAATTACTCTGGTATGCGTTGTGGTAGTCTGTTTTCCCCCATGACTGAAGTGAAAGAGCATAAGGAAGGTCTTGAGGTTTAAAGGTGTGCTCGGCCACAGGTGGCTGTCCCCTGGGCCCCTGCCACCAGCCAGCGCCCGCTGGTTGGGGAGCGTCACGTGGGTGTGCTACCACCCATGCGCCAGGAGTGGGGGGCGGGTAGAGTGAAACATTTGGGTACAGGCCATGGGGTGTATTTAAAGCATAGATTTGGCTTATTGTATGGGATTGTGGGAGGGACAGAAATGGACACACGCCCCACTGCCTCAGAGACTGGGTCAGGGACAGCTGGGTTGAGGGGTGGGATCAGGCTCACTGGGTGATGAAACTAGCAGAAATAAGACGAGGCGAGGTGACCGTGACTGTGCCAGGGCCACATTTGGTCAGGTCTCATCTTGATGCAGATGAAACCAAAGATAAACTAGCTTCTTATGAATAAGACCTCTTCCTATTCTCTATTAAAAGTTAATGTCAGTTTGGGAGGGCCGGGATGGCTTAGTTGGTTAAGTATCTGATTTTGGCTCAGGTCATGATCCCACAAACCATGGGTTAGAGCCCCACATTGGGTGAGCCCACCTCTCCCCCTCTCTCTTTGTCTCTTTCATGGGATTCTACCCTCTCCCCCGCCCCTTGCTCACTTGTGTCCTCTCAAAATAATAAATAGAATGTTATGTCAGTTGTGTCCATCTCAGTGTTGGAATATCCCAGACTCAGAAATCTTGGCCTAACATTCCTTATAAAACTTCAGGTTTAAAAGTTTGTGCCCTGGATAAACTTACGAGCCTTGCTATTTGTCTCTGAAAAATGAGCTTGGTAGGGCACCTGGGTGGCTCAATCAGTTAAACATCTGACTCTTAATTTCAGTTCAGGTCATGATCTTGTGGTTAGTGTGAGTTCGAGCCCCACTACCAGTGCGGAGCCTTCTGGGGACTCTCTCTGCCCCCATCTCTCCCTGCCCCTCCCCTGCTTGTGCTCTCTAGAGAGAAATAAAATGAGCTTGGTTGTATTTTGACAGGAACCCTTCCTAAGACCTCCTCTTCCACCAACAGCTTCTCCCTTGCTCCCTCCACTCTTTCTCAGCCAGCAGTGTGGCCCGTGTTTACCAGAACCCCACTCTGAGCATCTCCAGAAAGTGCACACTTAGTGGACTTCTCCTTCACTGTTGTTCTGAAGCTCCTACACTAGTTAATTCTTGTTCAATCTGGTTAAGTTTTGTGTTTGAATCTTAACAGACTGTCTTCTGACCACTACGACTTGGTGCCTCTGTGGCTTCCTAGTGGTGTCTTCCACAGAGTAGGTAAGTAAATAAAAACACACGCCATCTCCTCTGGGGCTTTCGGGTGTTTTGCGTCTTCTGTTCAGCTGAAGGCACTGTGCGGGATTTAGCAATAGCTTGTTTCCATCAAATGGCAATGCATTATGCTTGTACGGGAAGCTCACGGGTGCTTGTCCTAACTTACTCAGTTGGTGGCCTGTCACTGTTGAACCCAGATGGCTAGCTGAAAGGCCCAGGTTCTCCGGTTCTGCTTTTACAGAATGATAAACATTTCTTTCAGAAATGAAGTGGTATGTGGTGAGTCTTAGCTGTCTGCCATGGCGTAACCACAGGTAACCTCTACTTCCTGCAAACCGTGTGTAAGAGAAAAGAGAGCAAGAAGAAGTTTTCAAGATCGTTCCTTCAAAGCCATTGTCTATCCCTCATGTTTTAGTAAGTTTATTGAAATCATCAAAATATGGGGTCTCTAAAACCACTCAAAATGTTAAGTACATTATCTTTGTGCTTTTAACGCTTTGTGGGTACTATTTCTTTTGATATATTATGGACGTCATAATATTTAAAGCCCTCAAGACCCATTACCTCATCATGAAACAAATCAAGGCCCAGAAGGTCATGACCGATGTGAAGTTTTTTACCATCTTGGGGACAGAGCCAAGAGTAAAGTGGTTTGACAGTAAAGCGGTTTGACAGTCTTGTGCTCTTGTTATGGGGCCACGTGGGGCTCAGTTGTTCTGCTGTGGCCACTGAGTGGCATGCTCCCATTCCCCTTAAGGTGCTCGCCGTCCATGCTGGACACACTGCTGCTGCAGGTACGCACTGCACTCTGCTTCCCAAGGACAAGTTGGGGACCCTGTGCTGAAGGTTGTCGGTCCTTACACTCCATTGTAAAAAGCCTATGTCCATTTCCTGTGCTGTCCCTTTTCATTCGTGCAGGGTTGTGATTAAAGTGTTGTTTTAGAAGGTGAAGAATGCTAGTGTGAGGCAGTTGGCCATAGGATGTTTAAAATATACATGAAGAGTCCAGGCTTTTACAAACTGTAATATTAGTAGCTCTTATTGTATCATTCTAGACCAGTAGGCTATGAAAATAAAGATCAAAAGTGATCATTACTATATTGTCAGAATCCCAGCATAGCTGAATCAGAGACCTCTGTGGGAGCAAAGGGCATGGTTTTAAAAAGGAGAGCCTCTTCCAAGATTTGCCTATTTTGCTGCAGTAGGATAGTGTCTGTGAAGAGTCACTGCCGAGCAAGCAGTGCCATCTAGTGGACGGTGAGAAACTTTTCTGGGTCTTGTTGGGTCAAAAGGGGAGTGTGGGCCATGGAGTTAAGAACTCCTTAGTTGGTCTCTAGTAAATACCTCATACTTAAATATCTTCTAGTATTCAGTAAATATTCTCTTATTCAAGAGTCATTTGTAGATACGTATAGGCAAAAAGGGAAAGCCTCAATTTAAATCAGATATTTAACAAACCTCCTCATGTGCCACTAAACTTGTAAAGTAGCTAGTGTAGCCTTCACGGGAGAAGGAATGTGACCAGAGGATAGGGAAACAGCTTCCTTGGGAGAGAAGACAGCATGAACAAAAACATGGAGTCTGAAATGGAAGAGGAACTGTAAGCTTGGTCACAAATCCTGGCAAGACTTGTGAGGAAATCTGGTAGACTAGGCTCACATGGATCGTCCATTTCCTAAAAGTGAGGGGACTGGGATCAGGTCCTGGTCTTGAGGAGTGGAAAATATTTGGAATATGCTCCCATAGTTAGGACTGCTTGGTGGCCAAAAGGATCTCAGAGAAGATGAGCTCAGTTCTTGTGGTTTAGTTTGCTTCTCTGCTATAGGTGGTCAGGTTCTTGGTAAGACAAAAGGACAAAAAGTGGAGGAATCAAGGATACAAATAAGAATATCTTGTTTTTCATTAATGTTCACTTTTGAGAGAGGAGAGAGAGCAGGGGAGAGGCAAAGAGAGAGGGGGATGGAGGATCCAAAGGGGGCTCAGTGCTGATAGCAGAGAGCCCTGATACAGGGCTTGAACTCATGAACGGTGAGATCAGATGTGAGCCAGAGTTGATGCTTAACCAACTGAGCCACTCAGGCACCCCCAAGTGAGAATATCTTCAGTATTACTAATCAGTCCAAGATGTACAAAGGATGTAAAACAGGTTAGATGATTAGGGAGCACAGTAGGATTGATGTATTAAAGCCTCACTAGGGGTTCCCAAAGGTAAAGGTTACTTTCTAGAAAGAAAGGGAGATTGTAGTCTGAAAAAGGGGTTCAGACTTCTAGGACTATGTTCCCCTTGAAGTCGATCCTCCAAAGAAAAATTTTGCTGCTGAGGGTTATTAGAAAGCCCCAGAACCTCTCCGTTGCCACCAGTAGATCTTGTCTTGGCTTTGGATTAGATGATTCCGTGTTCTTGTGAGAAAATGGCTGCTCAGAGAGGGATCAATCTGAAACAGATGTTAATCTCTGGCCCAAACCCTTTACTTTCGGGTTAAAACTAAATATGGACACAGCAAGAAATTGAGTGGGAGAAGGGTCATAGACCCATTTTCATCTTTTGCTAGTTTTATTAAAAAAACCCATCTCTTTGAGGGGCACCTGGGTGGCTTAGTAGATTAAACATCTGACCATTGATTTTGGCTCAGGTCATGATCTCCTGTTTCACAAATTTGAGCTCCATGTCAGGCTCTACACTGATGGTGCCGACCCTGCTTGTGATTCTTTCTGTCTCTCTCTGCCCCTCCCCCGCTCACTTGTATAGGTGTCTGTGAGTGCTCTCTCTCACTCACTCGCTCTCTCACTCGTGCTCTCTCTCTCTCTCTTACATGGGAAAGCCCATAACCCTATCAGCTGATTT